TCCACCAGTGTGTGAATGTGAGAGTGAATGAATAATGGCATTGTAAACTACTTTGGGTTCCTTGAAAAGCGCTATATAAATCCAATCCATTATTATTTCTCACAAAAAAGCCACTCAGAGACATTTGGACATGCAGGAAATGTGTTTAATCAAGTCATTAGTTTTGGTATATTTATGTTTACAGCCTGCTAATGTCCCCTCTAAGTTAGAAATATTTTACAAGTTGCAAACAGAATGTAATTGTTAGATTCTTTCTTTGTGCATCGTGATCTCTTTACAGCTACTTTGGAAATTTGTAATGTCCTTCAAATGTTATAAATTGACATACAATCGTTCAGAGCCTTTCTAACATGGCTAATCTCTTTCTTTATCTTTCTGTTTCAAAGGCTCTCCGGATGATTGTGATGTGTACGCTGCAACAGGATCAAGCTTCACTGTGCCACTAAAACATGAGTTGAAGGAATCAGATAACCTGAAATGGTTCAAGGGCATGCGTGTAATCTTTTATCGCAGACAGAAACAGGTGATCATGGGGAAAAATGATGATGTTGATTCAACTGGATCACTAAAGCTGACACAACTGACCAAAGACAAGTCAGGACGATACATCCCAGAGGTTATCAATGCAGAGGGAATAAATGTGGGGGGAAATTTACAGAGTGTGCATTTGTGTGTATTAGGTAAGTAACAACACATTATACATACATTCATTTTGGTAATACAAATGTACTTTATAGCAAATGTTTTATCTGTTTCTATGTTAGTCACACATTTAACCCACAGAAAACTGCTGGCTCATTGATGTACTAAAGTTACTGTCTAATTTTGCCAGGCAGTCTTATTACTTTTTTTAATGTATTATCAGCAGTTCATATAATGTTGATAATAATCAAATTTTCTTTACTCAGACCGTGTGCAGAAGCCCAAAGTGACGATGACGTGTACAGGCAATAAGACAAATGTCAGTTTTACTTGCAGTGTTGGTCAGGTGAGGACAATATTTCATGTTTTATTGATATTTCCATGTAGTGAGTTCTTCAAATAACTTATAATTAAGCTGCTGAAGAATCTGTGGACAAAGGTCTCATTTCACCTCCACTGAAACTAAGCAGTTGAACTGTGTTGACTGTAAAATGCAGCTGAAACAGCAAGGTTTGGATTTATGTGCAGATATTATTTTAATATATAAAATAGGATACAGCTAATCTCATTTCAGCTGCATTCGGCTTCTGTTGGCAATCATTCTCTTTGCCTCATGTTTTAAAGTTTGATTAATTAAGTTGATAATGAGTTTTTTACAAAAGACTCAAAGACAACGACCCACTGATTAAAATGCTGAAATGTATTTAAGAATTTGACTGTCAAATTATTAATTCCACAGTTAATTGTACAGAGTCACCACACACACAAAAAGAAAAATACTCTTATATTTTCAGCCGTGCACTGGAAGAACGAGAAAAACAAAATGAATTAATTTAGATTTTTGATGTTGAACTCCAAGCCTTCTACTAATTGTGTTTTCTCCCACAGAATGAGAAGATTGAATGGTTTATGGATGGTAAACAGTTGGCAGAAAAAGGGAAGACGGTGACGAGAGTAGCCACAAAGGTGGAAAACGCCCATTTCTCTTGCAATGTTTCTAACCCCATCAGCTCTGAGATCAGTCTGCCTGTTCAACAAATCTGCTATAAGCCTGGTGAGTATTACTTGCAGTCAACTCTGCAAACGTTTAAATTTGCCTTTTTCCAAATGTTCGTGAGCTCATATCATAATAAGATTCTTTTCTTCTTCTCTTGTTTTATTCCTGAAGTTTTCTCTGAAACAATATTTGGAATTAGCATCTGGGTTTTAGTGGGTGGTGGAGCAGGTATGTTGTGTCTTCTGTGTAATCCTTACATTTTAACATGTGTGGCGTTGCTGAAATGCAGAGCAATTAAGCTTGAAGCAATGAACACAGGATTCAAATAAATAAACTCTTTACTTTACATGTCTAATACAATTTATTTTCATCCTCATCAGGTATTGTTCTGATTTTGATCCTAATTGTCATCATTTGTTGTATCCGGATCAGACGAAAAAAGCATGTGCGACTAAACGGTGAGAATCTTATCTTATAGTTATTTTAAAACCACTGCATATAATCTGTTAGTTACTTAAGTAGCTTCATTTCAGTCTAAACTTCTTAAAGTTTACCTGTGGAGCTCCCCAAGGTGCAGTGCTAGGACCACTTTATTTATATTTAGACTTAAGGTAGCAGGTTAAAGACATTTCAAACTGCAGATGACTCAAATATATTTTGAAAATACTGTTAAATTATGGACGAGGCATCTAAACCTGATCTTTCAAAAAAAAGCCATGCTGCAAATGCAAGCAATGCTCTTACTTATTTAAAATGATAACACTTAACTGGAGCCTTTTTTAAAATTTTACTGACATATAATTGAGCGGCCTAAAACTGCAGGGTCACATAGCTACAACTATAGCTATAACTCCAGCACACCACAACATTGTCTTAGTTGTGTATGTTTACTGCAAAGGAGATCAAATTATTTTTATTTATCCTTTTGTGTTTAGTTGACACAACCCCATCAAAGCCATTTTCTCAGTAATAGCAGGCGTTACCTTTTTTCTTACCAACACTTTAACAGATGATGGCGTTTCTCCAGGTCTGATTTGTAATCTATGCTTATTTTAACAGATGAGAGGGAGCTTTATTTGCAGTGGAGCAATCAAGAACAGGAACAGCCTGATTATTATGACCACCGCTACCTGCAGCAGCTACCTGGCAATACCAGCAATATGGCTGAAAACAGCAACTCGCCGAGCAACATCCCGAAACCTGGCATCTGTACACACTGTGGCCTGAAGAGAGACGACTTGAAATAATGCAATCACCAGCATCCAGCCTCAGCTATAAGTCATTTATGTTTTTCAGCTTCGTGTTAAATGGATAAACTGGCTGCACACAACAAATTGGCAGATTAAAGGAAATGACCTCAAACACACAGTCTGAATAAATAATAATGAGCATGTGGTTGACATGAAGTGACTAAACCAGTACAAACCTTAATCTGAAATACCAGCTGATTATCAATAATTTATCAAACTAAAACACCATCAAAACATCTCCAGACTTTGTTGTTTTGTAAGTAGATTTAAAAAAAAAAAAAAAAGTTACCCAGAGAAAGTGGGACAGACAGGAAGTCGGACTGTTTACATCTTCTGTAGTAACTCAGGCCGTACAATGTAAAGAATGACTGTTTAATCTTTGTGTACATTAAGAGCTTTCTGCTCTCTTTGCTCCTTGTTTTGAAGGAAAATATTCTCTTCTCGATGGGAAGAGTTCATGCTGTATATTTGCTGTGAGAGTGAAAGTTCAGGACTTGCGTATTTTCATGTGTTTTTTCTTCTTTCAGATTTAAAGATTCCCACAACTGTGCACTGGACAATATATTTGTTGCTGCTTCTGTACCACATGCAGGATGTATATAAAATCCATATAATCAAAGTTCAGATTATGTGCAGATGCTTGCAGTGATTAAAAAGTGCACGGGGAAGTCATAAGTCACATTTATAGTAGTAGAACGTGTGGGCCGCCTCCCAAAACCCTTCCAGTGATTCCCTTCACTGTAAAACATCAAACTCCAGGTGGATTTATAATTCATTCATTATTACAGAGAGCTCTGCTGTTTATGACACACAGTCTGACATTGTGTCCAGTCAAAGACCCTCAGTAAGTTTTCCTCAACCTCACCATTACCTCAGGCGTCAGAGAGGTGACGCTCTGGGTATTTAAAGCCAAAAAATATAAATTAGTCAGTATTTTGTGCAATAATTGTAATTACCAGTGTGCCTATCGTGGGGATCAATTCTGCAGTTTCCTTCTATTTGAATGATTATATTTCAGTCTCATATTTAGTTTGAAATATGACACCAAAACAACCAAACACTGGCCCAAAGTGACAACACCAGACTGAAGCTCATGAATGCAATCATCTGATTCTCCTGGTTTCTCATTTACTCCAGTTCACATGCATCACATTTACATAATGTTACGTCTCCTCGAGGGCAGGAGGGGATAACACAACAACTCCGGAAACTCGGTACAGGTGTTATGAAAAAGGTTTAATGGCAGCGCTCTCACATAATAAATAACCCAAATTCAAACAACAAATGTGGTGGAGAAAGGGACAGTTAGGTTGTGCCAAAAAAACACCAAAAAGACAAATCCAAAACTTAGCTGAGCTATTATCCTAGAAAAGCAAAAACAAGAGAGAAAGACCCTGAACCTCAACTCAAAACAAGCTCAAAATTACATGGGTGGCACCAACCTACTTACCTAGTGTTTCTAACAAAAAGACTCTACGGGAGTAAGTGTATGGGGTCCCCAAACTTAGCTAGTCCACTTTACTCCCACCACAATTATCAAACAAAAGAAGGACAGCAGAGAAACTTCACACATGTACCAAACAATTCAAAGGAGGGAAGAGAGCCACGCCCAGCCACAGGTGAGTCTCCTTATCAGGGTGTGCACTCCTGGATTGTCCAATCAGGGTCTCCCTCCTCTAATTAGTTGGATTAGTTGGCCCCAGATTGACATCAGCCTGCAGTCTGCGACCTAAGGGAACGACAAACAAAAGGAGAGGGAAAGAAAACATGCAGCCTGCAGACACGTAACACATAAACCGACATTTGATTCAGTATCACAGTTAAATTCCCATAAGGATTCATGTTGTTTGTAGTAGCCTATGTACATGTGCATGTGTAATGTAATGATGCCACCTTGTGGACATCTGCATACTGACAGCGTATCACTGTTTAAGTCTTGATGCATGGCTCAATGATCCAGGTAAGAAAATCCCAAAAAGTTGATTCTGTTCATCTGGACGTAACGTTGTCGGTGGGACAAACGTTTCGTCACTCATTCAACTGACTTGTTACATTTGATCCAGTTTAAATAAAATATGAGACAGAAAACAGATTAAGACTCAGAGTTTGCTGCACACAGAGAGAGGATGAGTGCTTCAGGATTAAAGGATGAAAGGATGTGGACAGAGTAGTTGGACAGTACACTACAGGACACACATCATGGAAAAGAGGGATTTGAATTGAACAGACAGCTCAGATTAGACTTCGTGGATCTACAGGTTGATCTACGTATACATGAAGTATGATTTCCTCACTCACTGTCTTACTTATCTGAGGAGGGGAAGGGTCTGTCAGCTAATAACAGTCACACTTATTTGATTTCAGTTAGTGTTGCAAGTCAAAGTGTTTAGGAAACACGGGCACATAATGAGGCTAACTTTCTGTGCTATAATACATAGAAATATAACCGTAAATGTCTCTCAGATTGCCAGGTTAAAATAAATAATGTCTGCATATTTGTTTTGAATATATTATGATTAAACACATAGATAGACAGTTGTACTAGCTGATATTTTGGGGTTTTATACACCAAAATATAAGAATACATTATAAACTTATATCAAATCACTGTGCAGACTCTGTGCTCTCGGCCACTTTGACTCTGTCCTGTAATAAATTACAATCTTTTAATAATGATACATTTACTACTTTATCACAGCTAAGTGCTGAAACTACTAACTACTAAATAACTTTTATTTTGTACTTTCACATCAAACTGATAACAATAATATTAATTTTGGATAACTTTATCATTTATGAGGGAGCATTCTTTCCATGGATACTGTTACCGATAAAAGAACTGTTTCACTGGTTTCTCTTGCCTCACACTAAAACATTAACACAAATGTTAGAAATTTGTTTATTTATTTTGTTGTGCTGATTATCATGGGGAATACAAATTTAATAGCATAGAGTAATTTGAGAGACTGAGTGAGCAGCAGCGCCTTCTGCAGTTTGTGTGTGGAAGTGCAAAAGCTTACAGCACCTGGTATTCCCAGGCGGTCTCCCATCCAAGTACTGACCAGGCCCGACCCTGCTTAGCTTCCGAGATCAGACGAGATCGGGCGTGTTCAGGGTGGTATGGCCGTAAGCGACAGTAAAGCTGTAAAAAAGACCTTTTATAGGTTGCAAATGTCACACACTTTGATATATATTATTGTGCAAAGCTTCATATGTTACAGCGAAACATGCAAACCTTCGTTGTTAACTGCAGCTTCATCACTGAGCTGCAAAAACGCTTTTCCGGCAGTAACATCACGATAAGAAGACATGTTCGTTGATTACAGCACAGTGTTAAAGTGACAGAGGACGATTTGGAAGTCAAACATTTTTGTCGTTTGGAGACTTTCACTTATATATAGAACATAAAAATGTAAGCGTGTGTGTCATCACAGTATGTATAAAAATGCTGTTTCTGAGCTCTTCCCTCGCTTACGGCCATACCACCCTGAACACGCCCGATCTCGTCTGATCTCGGAAGCTAAGCAGGGTCGGGCCTGGTCAGTACTTGGATGGGAGACCGCCTGGGAATACCAGGTGCTGTAAGCTTTTGCACTTCCACAAACAAACTGCAGAGGGCGCTGCTGCTCACTTCCTCAACACCACTCACAGTATTCTTTATGATAAACGGTCTGACAATAAAAACAGATTTTTCCAACATTTTCTTAATAGTTGCAGTTCAAGTGATATTAAAAAAAGACCTGTCAGCAGATTTGGGCTTTTTTGCCTTTTTTTTTTGCCAAGGTTCAAACCGAGGACTCAAGTGAAAGACAAAGTGGAAAGTTTAGAGCAAACTAATTTCATATAGGTTTTATATATGGCTTTATAAGTATATATGATAAGGAAAGTGATTTTAATCAGGCTCATATATTTGTTGTTGGGTTATTTCTTAGTTGTTTCATAGTTGTACGGCACCAATGGCTCATGGTGAAAGCAGCGATTCATTTTACCTAAACCCTTGAATCTCTCTCTTCTTAGTTATGTCGCTCTCTCTGCTTTATTAGCACATTAAGTTCATCTTCCTCCATCTCTTCCTCGCTTGGGCCAAACATATCAGTAATAAGTGTGTAAATTGATGGAAAAAGCAGTTCTGGTAGCTAAATGTCCAGGCTCTCCTTTAATAATAATAATAATAATAATAATAATAATAATAATAATAATAATAATAATAATAATAATAATAATAATAATAATAATAATAATAGTAGTAGTAGTAGTAGTATTTAATCGGTGTAGCATGAATGGAAAATCTGTAAAATACAGTTTAACATTTCTCCTTCACATGTTCCAAAACTATTGGAGTATTTTGTTGGCCGATTACAGCCGCCAGCCTTGACACCCCTGGTTTAGAGAATTTGACGAACAGATTTCTCGGATTTGACAAAGAGGCTTTTCTGCTAGACTCAGGCCAAGTTAGTCTTTAAACCCTTTACTCCCAGTTTCTCCGGCAGGAATCAAACACCGGGAGCTGCGGGCCAGCCGCGCACAAAGACTCAAACTGACTTTTCGTTTCTGCTCCGAAGTGTGGCGTACGACACCCACGTCACATGACCACTACTAATTACAGTTTTGGTGTATTTTACGCTAATTTCGATGACACGTCAAACTCCCATAAAGCTTGGAAGTCCACAGCAGCAGCAGGAAGAAGCAGATTGTAGGTCGTGAAGTCAGTGAAACCCACAGTGCACCTGCTGATGGGCAGTGTGCTTTTAATCCACAGTTTTCAATATTGTGTAGACTAATGTGTCTGTATTAATTCAGCTCCGTATTATTGTGTGAAGTTGCACTGGGTTGGGAGTGGCTCTGTGTGTGTGTGTGTGTGTGTGTCACATTTTTGGTGAGTCAATAGCTGTAATGGGGTTGGACTAATTAGAGGCAGGTGTACTTGATTGCACTGATACACTGGTCTACTTATAGCCCGAATAGGACACTGGACGGTTTTATCTTTTGATTATTTGTCAGTAAATTATTTTTAGAATTTTATTGACTGTCATCTTTTTGCCCACGGCTGAGACGGTTGGTCAGACCTAGACTCTATGTGTGGTGTGTCACAAGTGGCAGAAAAAAAGAGGAACGATGCTGATGAGAACTTGTATTTAAATAAAAACAAACAAACACAGAAGAGAACTTGGACAAAAAGCAAATAAAAAAACTTTTTTATTTTTTTAATTAATGAATTAAAACCTTCACATTTAGACAGATATATTGTTGCTCTGCTTCCTCTTATTTTATAAGCAGAATTGGCTTCATTCATTCACCAACCCAATCATATGACTTTTATTCACTTACTTCCACTTTTGTTCATTTTAACCAGCATGTTTCGTGTTTTTGTCTGAAGGCAGCATGTATGACATGACCTGCTGCCAGGTTAATAAACTGCTATCAGTGGAAAACGAGGAATCCGCAGAATATGTAATCAATAGTTGCCAGAGTGACACTGCTTCTTTCATAAGAAATATCCAAACGTTTATACAGCTGTCTAAATGGCCAGATGGATTTTTTTTTTTGTTGATACTTCAGTATGTTTATGAAGGCATTTTGAAAACACGCCACCACGATGATCCCAAACAGATCCAGGAA